CATGACATTATTTCATCTACATCTGATATCAAACTAAATTTTTTGTTATCAAATCAAATAACATATAAAATATTAGATATATTTTAAAATTTATATTTTATATTAATATCATTCATTAGTTAAAATTAGAACTGTTTATCGATTTCAGAGAAGATCTTCTAAACTAAAATTCATTTCACATTGAATTACTTTCAAAGTATTCTCATCAAGTTTAATCATTCTTTTAATTAAGATCTTCATCAAGTCGGATAGAGATGTTCTCAAATATTATGAAATACCGAATTATGTTCAAAATAAAAAAATATACAACAATTGTTATTATGCATACATAACTGACCTCTGTCTAATATTCTTTCTTGTTTAGGATAATGTTGAATAGTGTAGAGAACTAAAAAATGAAAATACAAACTAATTCAGAACCAATAGTGTGTTTTCATATGAAAATACTATGAATATTTTATTAGAGTTCCTTTTTTTTTTTGTGATTCTAGAATGTTGATTTCAATTGTTATTATCATTATCGTTATAATTTGTTTAGCTACTATTTGGTTTTTAAAAACATTAGGTTTATTTAAATCAATTTCAATAAAAATTACAAAACCACCATTTAATACATTGACTATAGTATATAAATTTCAACGTGGTAATTATTCTAAATCATCTGATATATTTAAAGATATTGATAAATATTCATCATCTCCTGATAAACTTGGTATTTATTATGATTGTCCTAAAGTATTGAATTAAATATATATATATATATAAGATGAATATGTATTTTGTTTTTGTCTTATTTTTTTAAAAATTAGACACCAGTTGAAAAACGACGATTTGTTGTTGGTGCTATTGTTGATGAAGTAAAAGATCGAGAATTAATAAAACAAATGCAAAAAAATAATTATAAAATTTTTAAACTACCACAACCTGTTCAATCAATTTATACAACATTTCCATTTAAGAATCTTTTATCGATTTTTATTGCAATTATGAGAGTACCTTATCGATTAGGAGATTATATTCAAGTAAATTTTATTAAATAAAATAATTAAATATTTTTCTTTTTCTTTTTTCGTTTTATAGAAAAATAAATTAGAAGCTCATCCATTTTTGGAAATTTATAAACGACCACTAATTCATTATATTATACCATTAAGTAATTTTGATGCTTATAATGTTCCTGAAATCAACAATGAATAATATACAAACAATTTTATCTTTTTTTTTTTTTATTTTCGAAACTTGTAAATAAAAATCATTAGTATTCCAGCAAGATTTGATGAACTTATATTTAATAAAGATGTCTTGTTTCATTTATTGAATTTAGTTCAGTCAAATATTATTTAATTGACTAGAGATAATCGATAATTCGTGAAAATCACCTCGAATGCTTTTCAAGGATGAATCAAATTCAAAGTTATAAAATGATTGTAGAACTCAAAATCATAGATGAATATAACCTGCGTTTTGGTAAAACTCATTTTTTTTTTGACTTATTTCTCACGGGCGAGATGCGAATTTTCTATGAAAAAAAAACGACTGATGGAAATTAACTGACTTAGATACAACACAAACAAATCTCATAGGACTAATTCCAGGAGAAATCAGAAACTTTTCTAAAATTATATTTAACTACAAACGTTATTGTACAACTATTTAAAATTATAAATAACTTTTACTATCAATTTTCTTTATCAATTTCATTTTTTCTTTTTTAACATGATAAATCTAATATCATAAATCGATTCTTTTTATTTAAAATAATAATATGTGAGTAGTAGTATTTGTAATACCGTTTGAATAAGAAAATAAGAAAGATAAAATATAGATGAACTAGAACTTGATTGAATTAAACCTATTTTACAACGTGCATCAGGTGAATGACGTGTACAACCATCAATACCACCTGGACAATTAATATTTATTTGTGATTGAAGATAATGTTCAAGTTGTTGAAATTGATTTTGTACATCTTGTTGTGAACATTTATCAAGACGAGATTTTAAACAACGAAAATATGTTGTTGCTTGTTGACACCAACCACGTTTATTAATTGTATTCCATGATGGATTAAATTTAACTGTAATCATTAATGGTTGACATAATTCATTTATAGCTTTTACTTGACATATATCATTTGATATAACTGATTGTATAGGTGATGAACCAAAAATAACATTTTTAGATGATACACTTGATGTATGTGAACCACTACCACTACGAACTGAATCAGCTGCTTCTGGTTGTTTTTGTGTATCCCAAACAATATTAAATTTATAATCTTCAATTTTATCACTACAAAAACCTAATAGATCATCGACACGTTTTCGAATGCCTAAAATAGATAAAAAAAAAAGGAATTTTTAGTTTAATTTTTTAGTTATTTATTTATAAAAAGGTAAGGTATAATTTGTTTGTTTTTTTTTTTAATAAATTAGTTATTAATAGTCATTTGTAATGTAGATTGAAAGCTATACATATACTTCTAATACATTCTGAGAACGAGAATACGTTCTTGAATATTCAATATATAGGACTATAACAATAACAACATTTACTGAATCAATGAAGATATGAACAATCTTCTAAAGATTTATATAGAAATAAGTTTAGGACATTTGCTGATTAAATCGAGTTAGCGATGATTATCAGTTTTGTATTGAGAAACTCATCTCGACTGATTTTTCATCTTTTGAGTTTAGTTTTTAATTCAATATTTTTCTGCAGAAATATTTACATATTAAATAAATAATATAAAAAGTTCTAATAAAAACTTTCGAATATTAGAAGAAACAAAAAAAAAATTAAATCTTACCTTTCATAATTGATTCCATAGCTGTTTCATATTTTTCTTTATTTTCACAACCACGATATTTTTTATGAACACATTCAAAATAAACTCGTGATGCAATACAATATTTAATTGGATCTGTTTCTCGATCTTCTTTTTCAGGTTTTCGACCACATGCACGTGAACCCATTACATCACATGCATCTATATTTAAAATCATGATAACCATCAATATATAGAAAAAAATCATTATATAAATGTATTTCATCTCTCGTCTCATAAAAATTATCAAATGATTGTAAGAAAAAACGACATTTAATGTTTTCACAATATTATTATCACCTTCTCGGCCAATAAAAAGATTATAATAGACACGTTGGTATCAAATATTCAAATAATCGAGAAAGAATAAAAGAGATCACACACGCACAAACTATAAAAATTTTTCTTTTTTGCGTTTTTCTTGTTGTTGTTGTTGTTGTTCCTACTTCTTCTTTCGTTTTTTTTACGATCGATAGTTGTAGCATTAACGAAACATACCGATAAATTTATGTACGAGTAATTGTTAACATTTTCGTATTAAACAAACAATAAGAGCTTTGTTCAACGATAGAGTTATGAAAGAGAGAAAGAAAAGTCAAATATTTATTTAATGACAACAATTGACGCCCACTTGGGTACAATCACAATCGAAAAAACGAAAACATGTCTATTACGTAGTTTTTTTTTTTATTATGATGTTTCAATCCACCATGATTTTAGTCCTAAACCTGGTTCTGATATTGAACCAATTATTGTATAAGGTACTTTTTTATCATCATCATTTGTAGTTTGTGTTATTGATGTATTATTATTTGGCATTTCTTTTGGTGCTGTATCTTCAAAAATTTCTTGTACAACACGAAAACTAATTTAAAAAAAGAAAATAATAAGAATAAAATTTAAAATATAAGATGTATTTTATTTACCGAATTTCTTCACCAATATCCATAACAAGATCATGTGTTTCATCATCAGTTTCATATTGCCATGCCCATGTTTGTTCAGCTTCAATAAATCGAGATGGATGTTGAAGTTTAGTCGATGGAATAAGAATATCATCAAAAAAACCTATTTAAAGAATTTTACTTTGTTTTTTTTTCTTCATGAAAAAATTAAATAGTTCATTTCATATTACCTAATGTTACTGTAATACCATCTTTACTTGATGATCGAATTTTACCTTTGAAAAAATAGATAAAATAGAACTATTTTATAATTGAGTTGAAGCATGAGGAGGAGGAAGGAAATCAAGAAGTTATTATGAAAACTTTCCTAACATGAAAATTACTTTCGAGTTCAAATTCTATGCGTAATGTAGACTCCAAAAAGGTAGTAAAACTTACAAATGAATGAAGGCAACTAGGTCTTTCCTACAGAACTATAACCATTTTACTGAGATTTTACCCATTATTGAAATTCTAAAAATCACTCATATTTCACCAAAGATGTTCTTTTTTGCAATATTGATATCACATGCAGGTAACATTCTATTATACATTTCAAAATATAACAGTGATGGGTATTTTTTGAATAATTTCTGATAGAAATCAGATAGAGATCTGTGGTTTTTCACTGTTGAAAAGAGGAGATGAAATCATATATTACAAATTTTACTACCAAGTGTATTGATTGAATTTTTTCAAAAACAAAATGTGCACGTTTGGGCTCGATTGGTATAGTAAATTTTCATGAAAATATAGCGAACAAGTAGAAGCGCACAGTAAAATGCCTTTAACTTCCAAACGTTACAAGTTAAAAATCTCGGCTTTGTACAATTTTGTAGATCTTCGATTGGCGGTTATGATACACTTCTAAAAGTCGAAAATTCAGTTTAGATACTCAGCATGATACATTGGTTTGCCAAAACTTCGATTAAAAATCACTCAATAAAACTTACCAAAAAAAAAGTCTGTAATATATGATTCGATGTGTCTTCATCTCCTTTTTCCAATAGTAAAAGCTGTAGGTCTGTATCTGCTTTCTATCGAAAGTTATTAGAAAAATACTCACTGATCTTCTATTTTGAAATAGATACAAAACGATTTTCAACTTGGAAAAATTTCTTTTAATTATTATTGAAATTTTAATAGATAAAAATTGTTAGAGTTATTTCTCATTTTTTTCTTACCAACAAGAATTTCATCAATATTTGGACGAAAAACAACATAACGAAATTTAACTTTAATATGAAAATTTGAATCTGATGGCAATAGAATACAATCACCCATCGATAATATATCATACAAACATATACATAAACCTAATTCTTGAAATATTGTATTGGCTAATTTACGATCAAGTTCTTCAGCTACAATCGTACTCAATTGTTCATTGAATAAATGTGGTACAATAGAAACTGTATCGTCCAATGTTGCAACAATAAACATTCTTTTCTAAAAGATGATTTTTATTTTTTTTTTTATTTTTTGTTAGAATAAAAATTTTGAATATTTTCAAAACATATTTAATTCTTGTTTTATTTGAAAAAGAAATCTATAACAAATAATCTAATGTGTGTCTTTTTCAGTAATTGATTTTTTAATATGCCGTACAGATGATATATCAGTAGATGATTTTGAATCAATTGGAATAGAAGATAGTTTTGAATCTATTGAAGTAGAAGATAATTTAGTCACAGGTGTCGATGAATTAGTTGATGTTGAATGTGAAAGAAAACCTTGTCGATCTTTTGTTTGAAGATTATTATAAATAGCTAATGCTGATGCTACCATTGATGACATATCACCAGCATTACTTGGTAAAATAATTGTATTATTCGTTCGAGCAAGATTAGCAAATGCATGAACATATTGTTCAGCAATTTGTAATGAAGCAGCATTACGTCCTTCCTTAAAAGGAAAAATATTTGATGGAATTTATTTTAAATAAAAATAAATTTTATACTTCAGATTGAAGTTTATCAGAAATTGTTTGAAGTGCTTGTGCACGTGCACTAGCTCTTGCACGTATAGCTTCAGCTTCACCATTTGCATTATTAATTTGTTCAAGTTTAAAACCTTCACTAGATAAGATAGTTGCTTGTTTTGTACCTTCAGCTTTATTTATTTGAGCTTCACGAATACCTTCACTTTCTAAAATTGTTGCTCGTTTACGTCTCTAAAGATAAAACATAGTTAGAAAAAAAAAGAAAGATTTTTTTTTTTCTATTTATTTACTTCAGCTTCAACTTGCATTTGCATTGCTTCTTGAACTTTTGCAGGAAGACGAATATCACGAATTTCATATCTATTAAATTTAAACTAGTCAAATAAAATTATTAAATTTAAATATTTCAAATAACCTTAGACAAATAATACCCCATGCTTTAGCTGCTTTATTGATAGCCTCTTTATAAGAAAGAAAGAAAGAAAAAAAAAGAAACAAATTAATCATATAGAAAATATGAAATAATAATTAATTGACATACCAACAATACCAGCATTAAGTAATTCTCTCTCACGAAATAATGTATCTAATGTAATTTTACCAATTTCAGAACGCATTGTTGTTTGTGCAAGTTGTGTTACAGCAAATTCAGCATCTTCAACACCATAACTAGCCTAATAGAAAGTATTAAAATTAATATTTCTATCAAATTATTTTTTTTTTCATATCGATTATTTACTAAATAAGGATCAAATACTTTGAGATATAATACACCATCAATATTTAATGTTACATTGTCTAGAAAGAAATATTACAATTATTTTAAAGAGAATTCTTTAACACATAAACGAAATATAAAATTTTCAAAAAAATATCTATTCATAGCTTGCAACATTTGTCAGAATTTCAGATCAAAATATCTCATTTTGAACTTTTTATATATCACTAATATGTACTTTATGTTAATTAGTTACCTTTCGTTCATTGTTTTTCATTTTATGAATTTTTTATTTTTATCTTACCTTTTGAAATAGCTGCTTGACTTGGAATTTCTATTGCAATTTCTTTTAAACTTTGCACATAACGTATATTATCAAGAATTGGGAGTAAAAAATTCAAACCCTAGAAAAAAAAAATTATTCGAATTTTAGGGTAAATATTTTATTTAAAAACTTACAGGATTTAATGTTTTATAAAATTTTCCCATACGTTCAACAACCCATGCTTCTTGTTGTGGTACAAATAGAACAACTGTATTAAATGGTGTACGAGAACGAAAACGATATTGTTGTTCATTTGCTGTACTTGTTATAACACGTTGTAAAAGTCGTCGCTAATTATAAAACATCAATAAAAATTAAAAAAACAAACTAATTCTCAATACTTACAGATACAATCGGACCTAATGTTCGATTTAATACAAACGCCATATTATTCAAACAACGAAACCTAATTCTACAAAAGAAAAAAAAGGGAATCGTCTTTATAAGAAAAATAAGCTGATGCAAGAATATCATAAGTCATATATTTTCTATTTCTATTTTTTTTTTTTATTTGAATCAATCTGACATCATTAATAAAGAAAAAAAAAAATCTGTGTATTAAAAAAAAAATGAGAAGTGACTATCTGACAAAGATGATCTATGGTGAAAAAAGTTGTCGTTTTGTTTCATCTAAAATAAAATTTAAATAAATTATAATAAAAAAAAAAAAAAAAAAACAATAAAGATTTTCTTACTATTTAAATGACTATAATCACTTGGAAGATTTTCATCATTTGCATTTAAATCATTCATATGAAATGGATCTCGACTATGACGATGTCGTGGTGCAGCTAAACGTGGAATATTTTCAGGTTTGCATGGTAAAGGATCACTTGTAAAATAAGAAGATTCTAAAGCCTACAAAAGAAAAAAAAAACAACAAAATTTTTTTTAATGATTTATTTTGTTTCTTTTTACTTGTTTAGCTGTAACACGATATTTTGGATTCATAACAAGTAAACTTTTTAATAGGATTAATTCTTGTTCATTTGCTTTAGGAAATTTTTTTTCAAAAGTTTCTTCATGATTTAATAAACTTTCATCATGAAATTGTAAAAAATGTTTAAATGTTTTAGCTTCTGGCCATGTTTTATCATTTGGTGGACCAAGTAAACGATAAATCATTAAAATTTGTTCAATTTCACTTTTACTTGGAAATACAATATGTCGATTAATTAATTCACCAATAACAATACCTAATGACCATATATCTGTTGATGTATCATATTGTCGATCACCAAGTAAAAATTCTGGTGAACGATACCAAGCCGGTGGTAAACGATGAAGTTTTCGACATTCATCATTAACATATATTGATATACCAAAATCAGCTATTTTTATTATACCATGAGAATTAATCATTATATTTCCTGGTTTAATATCCTTGAAATTTTTATAAAAATGAATATAGCAAAAAAAAGAAAAAGAAAAATTTAGAATAATTATCATACTTGATGCATGATACCAGATGAATGAATATATTCAAGACCTGAAAGCATCATATGAACCATACATTTTATATGACTATGAGAATAACGATTGTCTGTACAATGAATTAAACGCTGAAACAAAAAAACAAAGATAGCGAAATTAGTTTTAATAAATAAATTTTAGAAAATATCAACTTACACCAAGATCAGCATGCATTAATTCAAAAACTAAAACAGCTACTTTTGAATCAGGTGTATAAAATGAATCAAGTAACTAGAAATAAATTATTAGTAGGTAAATTTCTTTCGTTTTTTTTTTTTGATATATTTTCTAAACTAAATTTTACCTTAATAACATTAGGATGATGTAATTTTCGTAACATTTGCATTTCATTTTCAGCTGCTGGTTCAGCCCAATCTGTATATTCTCCATGACGGCCAACTTTAATCTATAAAAAATCTATATCGAATACAAATTTCCCATTTGAAGAAAAAAAAAACGAAATACTTTTTTAATAGCCACTTCTTCATTTGTTGGAAGATACCGAGCTTTATAAATTCCAACAAGCTAAATAAAAATCATATGATATTTTAAAAAAAACAACGTTTTTTTTTTTCATCTATAGATTGCATCATACTGAATCTTCTACAATCACTTCATCGATCACATAATTTTCGGACTTAGCAGTTGCCATTGAATTGAACAAATCAAAAAGAAAAGAAAACAATAAACAAAATATTTTCCTAAGTTTTTTCTTTTCTAATATTGTTTATTTATTTTAATGATCAGAAAAAAAATCTATTAGAAATAGATCAACAAATAAGAAGACAAAAAAAAAAAAGTTCTATTTATTAAATTTAACAGCGCCATCTTTCTGTCAGTATTTGTTTTTCTATTTCTCTCTCTCTCTCACTCTCTCTCTCTCTCGATTTCTCTTTTCACCAATTGGATCACAAGCAACTAAGTCAGTCAAATAGAGCAAAAGAATTGATTGATTGATAGGTAGATAGTGAACGACCATCGGTCAAATTGTTTTTTTTTCCTCTTGTTGTTGTTGTTTGTTTTTTTTTTGTTATTACAAGAATTTCAATTATTACTTTTTTAGTTTAATATATTATTTCATCAACAATGCAGATATGAATACAAATAATATAAATACTCCATTATCAAATCGAGTATGACTTCTTTTTTTTTTTTCAAAAAATAAAAATCCTTTTTTTTTTGTTTAGTCGGATGGTACCGATCAAGGATCGATTATATCTTCTATTTATCCTTCTACTCCAATATCAACATCAAATAATTATTTAACAAATCGTACATTTATACCACAAACACCAGCATCTATTAATTCAGAAATGGATACATCAACAATTGCAACATCATCTAATATAACATCAATACAACAAAATGATCAACGAAGAAATATTATTCAACAACTTGCACTTTTACTTCATGCACATAAATGTCTTCAACGTGAACGACAAGCACAATCATGTAATGGAGATAATCATAATATAACACAACCAACAACAACATCTTTAAATCCTTGTACATTACCACATTGTTCTACAATGAGGACTGTACTTCAACATATGACTAAATGTGCTGATTTTAAAAATTGTTCTTGTAAGTTATGAAAAAGAAAAAAAAAATTTATTCAATATAAGAATAATTATTAATATTTAAGTTAATCATTGTGTTCAATCTCGTCATATTATTTTACATTGGAAAAATTGTGCTACACCAAATTGTTCTATATGTGGTTCATTAAAAAAACCATCAGCACTTCGACCACAAAATTCTATACGTAAATTTATTCTTATTTTTTTTTTTTTTTATAAAATAAATTTGTTTTTTTTTTTTTATATATAGCAAAAGAATGGCAACAACAATTACAACCTGATCATCGAAATCATTTAGTTAAAAAAATAGTTGCAGCATTATTAAATACAGTTCAACAAGATGGTCGATCATTACCACCCGATCGTTTAACTGCAGTAACATCATATGCACAACAAACAGAAGCTGAAACATTTAATACAGCTATAAGTCATGAAGATTATTTTCATCGTTTAGCTGAACGTATTTATAAAATACAAAAAGATTATGAAGAAAAACAAATATCAAAAAAACAACAAATATTAACATCAATTGATAAATCAGCTGGTGAACAAGGTCCACCAAATCGTATTGCACCACAATCAGATTATTCATCAACATATTTATCATCATCATCATCATCATCATCTTCAACAACAACAACAACACAAATTAAAACTGAAAATCAAACACCTAATCCAATACAATCAGTATCATTTGATACACATCGTACATCAACAGAAAGTCTTAATCGAATAAATATTCATAATAATAATAATTCAAATACAAATTCACATATTGATACAAATGGAACTCAAATAGATATAAAACATATTAAAACAGAACAAATATCACCAAATCATGATACAAAAATTCAAGTAAATAAATAATATTTTTTACTACATATATATACATAAAAATTCGATAAATCTCTATATATATATCTATAGATTAGTTTTTTTATGTGTTTCTAGAAAGTAGATAAATTACTCTTACATTCTTACCTAAATCATGTATCTAAATTTAAGATTATTATGGTTGAATAACTACATTATTCGACACCTATTTAACGTGTATTATATTGGTTAAATTGTGACATACACCTACTTTTATGATTAGTTAGTGTATATATGAGGTCACTATTCTACCTAGGATTGCGGTTAGTATTAGTTATTTAAAAAAAAAAACCACGGACAATATTATCGAATTCATTCAATCAAAATTTCGATAATCGCAAACATTAGAAGTGTTCTTTCTTAGTGTGTTGTTTTTTTTTTCTTTCAAAAATATCATCAAGATACAATATGAGTGAACATCATTTTATAGTAAAAAATACAAAACAAAATTTTTCTATATGTATATCAAAACATTTATATTTAATTAAAATCTGACGATATGTATTAGAAGTTCCTAATAATCAGAATTATTAGAAAATAAAAATTAGCATTTAATAGAGAATATTTCATCCCCCCCCCTATCAAAAATTTGAGTCTATAGTATATCTTAAATATTATTTTGTAGACAATGACAATTATAAAAAAAGAAGAAACAAGTGAAACAACAATAAATGGAAATAATGTAACAACGACAACAGTTGAATTAATTAAAACAGAAAAAATTGATATTGAATCAAATAAAATAAATCGACCACCACCTATTGATTCAACAAGTAAATCATTAACAAAATATCCAGCAAGATTTTCATCGGATGATTTACGAGAAAAAATGACACCTATACTTCGTCATTTATTTAATCAAGAAGAAGGTGGTTGGTTTCGTCAACCAGTTACAGAAAATATAGCACCTGGTTATTTTGATATAATTAAATATCCAATGGATTTTTCAACTATATTTAAAAAATTAGATGAAAATCAATATGAAACACCATATGAATTTTGTGAAGATGTTTGGCTTGTTTTTAATAATGCATGGACATTTAATAAAAAAACACAAAAAGTTTATAAAGCTGGTTCAAAAGTAAATTTTTTTTTATACATATATTCAAATTATTGTTTTATTTTTGTTTTAAATAGCTTTCAGAAATGTTTATGGAATTAGTTGATCCTATTATGAAAGATTATGGTTATTGTTGTGGACGTCAATATGTTTTTTTACCATCAGCTATGTTTTGTTATGGTGTAACAGGTATGTGTTGTACAATACCACGTGATGCTGATTATTTTGTTTATAATAATCCGGATTCATCAAGAAATAATTTATCGGGTGATAAATATACATTTTGTAAAAAATGTTTTGATTCAGTTAAATCAGAATATATATTAGTTGGTGATGATCCAGCACAAACATTAATTGAATTACCTAAAATTGAATTTCATCAAGCTAAAAATGATCATCAAGAACATGAAACAATGACTGATTGTATTGTTTGTTCAAGACGTTTTCATAATATATGTGTACTTTATCATGAACATATATGGCCTGAAGGTTATGTTTGTAAAACATGTGTACAACAATATAATATTAAACGAAAAGAAAATCGTTATTTAGCACATAAATTAACTATGACGGATTTAGCTAATGCATTAGAAAAACGTGTTAATGAATTTCTTAAAAAAGATTGTGATCCTGATACAGGTCGTGTTACAATACGAGTTTTAGCTGCAAGTGATCGTCTATGTGAAGTTAAACCAAGATTAAAAAAACATTTTGGTTCACAAGTACCTGATGGTTATCCATATAGAACAAAAGCTATATTTGCATTTCAAGAAATTGATGGTGTTGATGTTGTTCTATTTGGTATGCATGTACAAGAATATGATAGTCGATGTCCAGCACCTAATACAAGGTAAAGAGTTTGTTTTTTTTTTCAAAATTAACATTTGTAAGATTTAATAGAATATGTTAGAATGAGAATAGTATGAATATTATTGAAATTCAAACGATACGTTGAAGAAGGATTTGTGTTCATAGGTTATTGTTATGAAAATACTGCAATTTTTTTGTTTTTAAATGGAAACAACTGATTTGATTTGAAATAGATCTTAAGGCCTCCCCCCCCCCTCCTCAGAAATCAACTTTGTTATTTTTCAACCAAAATTTCAGAGAATGTTAGTCTAGGCTAGGATAGATGACGGTTAAAATATCTCAAAGATATGCACACTCGATTCATTGGTCAAAAATACCCTTTACGCGGGCAAGGTTTTCAACATGAGGATATTAGCTAAACATGTTGGTGTAGTTTTTAAATTGTAGAGTACCCTTAGGGCTAGATCCTAATAGAGTTCGATTTTTGAATTTCCCTTCGTTGATTTTTTTAAAAAACGTTTTTCGAAAAATTCTTGAATTCATGGTCAAAAAATCGCTAAACAAAACAAAAGATTCAAGTTTTTTTATTTCAGCAGAAGAGAAATTCAAAAATCGGGCTCTATTAGAATCTAGCCCCACTTGTCCTCTATGCAATAAGAAAAAATTATCATTTCTCTATTGAGTCGTTATTAAGAAAGGCGTGCCCGCGTAAACGGTATACTCGAAAAAACTAATTTTGAGAAAAACGAAAAACCTTGTTTTTTCCAATATGGAAAACTTATGTAATATTCTTAAAGCTCATCATAAAATTAATCAACTATAGTGCATTCGAGAGTAGACACTGCTCTATCTAATGAGTTATAAATCACACAATCGATAAATTTGACCAAAATTGATTTTTTTGAGGCCCCCCCCCCCCCCCAATCTTAACTATTATAAATGTAGTCAAAAGATTTCCTATATAAGAAAAATTCGTAATATCAAAACATCAGCGATTACTATAAGTGCATATTTATTATTAGAAAATTTATAAAAATATCAAGTATTAGTTTTTGAATAACGTTTCATTATATATGTCTATCAAAATCAAGTTTTCATTGTTAGATAGAGCAATATTTTTTTTTAATATACAAATTCTATTAATCTTGTTTTTTTTTGTTTTAGACGTGTCTATATATCTTATCTTGATTCAGTACATTATTTTCGTCCAAAACAAAAACGAACAGCACTTTATTTTGAAATTCTTATTGGTTATCTTGAATATGTTAAACAATTAGGATTTGCATATGCACATATATGGGCATGTCCACCAAGTGAAGGTGATGATTATATATTTCATTGTCATCCTGTTGAACAACGTGTACCAAAACCAAAACGTTTACAAGAATGGTATAAAACAATGTTAGATATAGCTGTTAATCAACGAGTTGTTGTTGATTATAAAGTTTGTTATTTTATTTTAGTTTTTTTCTTTAATGAATTTTTGTTTTATTTTTATTTAGGATATAATGAAAGATTGTAATGATAGTGGTGTGAATAAAGCAACTGATATTCCATATTTTGAAGGAGATTTTTGGTCTAGTACAATTGAAGATTTACTTAAAGAACTTGATACAGAAGAAGAAGATAGAAGAAAATTTGAAGAACTTGAAGCTGTTAAAGCATCGGAAGATGGTTGTTTTGATGATTCTATTGAACCTGAAGAACCAACAGAAGTAATTGAAATTTTTCTTTTTCGTTGTATTTCATATTAATTTTTTTTTTTTTTTTCGAAAATTTTTTAATAGATTTCTGATAAACGTAAATCAGGTGGTGGAACAACACATAAAAAGAAAAATTTTAAAAAAACAGCAGGACAACGTCGAATAGCACGAAAAAATATGTCAAATGGTACTGATTTAATATCAAAAATTTATGCTATGATGGAAAAACATAAAGAAGTAAAAATTAAAATATTATTTTATTTTTTATAATAATAATTTTTTTGTATAGTCATTTTTTGTTGTACGTCTACGTAATCCAATGTCAAATCCAGCAACATTAACCGATACAGATCCATTAATACAATGTGATTTAATGGAATCTCGTGATGCATTTTTAAGTTTTGCTCGTGATAAACATTGTGAATTTTCATCATTACGTCGTGCTAAATATTCAACAATGGCATCATTAATTGAATTACATTCATCAACAGCCGATAAAATATCTTATACATGTAATTCATGTCGACAATTATGTGATATAAGATATCATTGTACTGTATGTGATGATTATGATTTATGTAGTAAATGTTATACAACAGTTAAACATGAACATCGTATGGAACGTACAGATGATACAAATGAAACACCAACTAGTTCAGATACACCATTAAATATTCAACAACAAAAACAAATAACTATGCAAAGAATGTTAGATGCTATACGTCATGCTGTACAATGTCGAAATGCAAATTGTATATATAAAAATTGTGCACCATGTCAAAGATTACTTCAACATGCTAAAGAATGTACAAAAGCATCAAGAAATCAATGTCAATTATGTAATAAACTTTTATCACCAATATGGTTTCATGCAAAAACATGTAATGATCAAAATTGTCCTGTATGTATATATATATATATATAAAATTCTTTTTTTTTTGTGTCTGTGTATGTTATTGATTGAATATTGTGTTTGTTTGTTTTTTTTTAGTTACCTTATTGTACAAGTTTTAAACATAAACTTCAACGACAACGTGCAGCAACTATGCAAGCTGATCGACGACGTATTACAGCTATGCATCGAGCAAATATGGCACCAGGTAAAATATTAAATATAATCATAGAAGACAAATAAATAAAATTCTTTTTTTTATTGAATTGTACGATAAGTTAAATACAAAAAAAGAATTATAATCAATTGTAGTTATGTATACTAAAAATTTGAATTTGTTTATGTTAATAACTCATGACTGGTGAAATCTATTGATATTGAACTTTAGTTAATGATTCAAATGTATTATTAAAAATTAAAATATTTGATGAGAAATCTCGAGAAAACATATTCGAAAAAGTCTAATATTCATGATCCAATAAAACTTCATCTCTTCTTTTAAACGGTGAAAATCACAGTTCTCTATCTAGTACTATAGCTTTTGATATTTTAATATATAATTAGAGCCCCATTGAAGGTCGTTCTTTTACATAGAACTTTCCTCAATGGTTTATAATTCTAGAAAGGATTGATAGATTGAATATTGTATTATACTGATATGTTTATTATGTTTTTTTGTTTTAGGTCCATCACCACTTAGTCAACAAAATACTGAATCAACACCTACACAGTATCATCATCCGATGGAATCAGCTTCACCAAGTTCATCAGGTAAAATGATGCCATCAGGTGGTAAAAGTGGTAAACCAGCATCAATGAGTGGATTAGTACGTGCTAGTTTACCTTCACAACAACCATCTTCACAACATTCAGTATATTATAATGGTGGTAAAGGTAATCCAGCAGCTGGTGGATATCCAATGATGATAACACATCATCAACAACAATCACAACAATGGATATCACCACAACAACAACAACATCGATATGCAACACATGTTGCTAGCGGAGGAAAACCAATGATATATGCACAACAACGTATGTCATATGGTGGAGATCCATACATGATGAGACAACAAACTCCACAAGTGCCATCATCTTCTTATCCATATACATCAAATATAGGTAAATTATTGAAATAACAAAAATAATTAAAAAAAAAAATTTCGAATATTTTCTATTTTTTGTTTTAGTTCCACCAGGATATTCCCATACTCAACCAATGGATCCTAATGCATTGGCTGCAGCACGTGCTGGTAAACCAATGTTACCACAACAACAGCAACAGCAACAAATCCAACAACAACAACAAATGCAACAACAACAAATGCAACAACAACAACAACAACAACAACAACAAGTACCTCCTCGATATTCTCTCAATTCATATTATACTCATCCTTCACCAATGTCTTATCAACAGCCATCATCTATACCACAACCACCACATCGATCTCTTTCACAAGGTCCAACACCTACTTATTCAATGCCATCAACATCAGTACCGTCAAACGGTGCTGGTGGTAAACCAACTTTAATCGATTCAATCGAATCAAAACCTGAAGATATGATAGATGATCCATCAAAACAACAACAACAACAACAACAACAAATGTTTCATCCTCTTCTTCAAAATCGTTCACGTCCACAAACACCTTCATTCTATCCAAATATGCCACCAACAAATGCTCCTTATTATCCTTCACAACGTTCAATGACACCAACACCTGATTATAATATGGCAGCAGCAGCAGCAGCAGCACGTGGTATTCGACCAACAAGTGCTACTGCTGCTTCTTATTCAACTCTACCAGTTCAACGAGTTCGAGCTCCACTTCCTTCACAATTATCATCTTCAACAAGTGATCTTACAACTGTTATGAATAATAATTCAATGGGACTTCAATCGACTCCACCTCCGCCATCAGTAACTCCGCGTTGAAGCGCAATATTATCTTCTTTATTTCTATTTATTAACTTCATGTATGTCTCTTTATTTTTTTGGCCGACTGATTTTATTCTTCATTTAAATTATCGGCAAAGAAATTTTTTTCTCTCTCTTGGTTTTTTTCTTTTACATACTGATCTATACATACATATATATCTCAAAAAAAAAAAGTTGTATCGAAAACATCTCATTGATTTGATTTCTCTTTTGTTTTTTTTTTTTTTCATTCGAGTGTATATGTAAATATTTTGTTTTTTGTTCCAATACGAATATAATATGCGCATCGTTCAGCTATGTAGTTTTGTTTTTTTATATTGCTAGTGTACATTTTCTTTTTCTGTCTGTTTGCTGTGGAACAAAAACAAAGGAGTTCTTTTTTTTCTCTCATATTTTTTCATAACAAATATTGTTGTTGTTGTTGTTGTTGTTGTTGCTGGCTTCGTGCATTACGTTCTTTTCGTGTTGTTGTATTGTGTCGAGTATCTTTTCTTTTTTTTTTTTTTCTTACTTCTTCTTGATTTCCACAAGGAGAATGAGTCAGTTTATGTATATGTATCTTGTTTTTTGTTTTCTTTTCTATTTGTCTGTCTTTCTTCCAGACAATACATGCTTTGTTTTTTTTTTCGCTTCTTTATATATGCCCGAGCGCGCGCTACTGCCGTCAAAAACTCTTTTTTTTTCTATTTGTACTAATAATAAAGTGAAATGGTCAAATGAAAAACGAAAATTGATAAACTTTAAACTCATTTCAATTGTAATAAATATTCACATTAGATGAATTTGTATACTGTTCGAAACTATATTCGAAGATTTTTCAAGAAGTCTTCGAGTAACACAGAAATAATAGGTATATAATTAAATAATAATTAGCAAACAAATTATCTTGTATATATTACGAGCTAGAGTTCGATTTATATTTAGAATTTTTCGAGTATAACTACAGCAAATTCAATTGTTTTCTTTTCACAACTATTGATTAGATCATACTAACAATATGAATGAGTTATGACTTATTGTTTTCGAATCGTTCTGATCATATTTTGTTGCCGGTTTGTGACTTTTCTAACGAACGCACATGTGGAACATTTTCCCATTGTAATCTATTTGTATAGCTTCTATTTTCGCTTAAAAAGCGTTTTATAAGAGCACATTTAAAGTCACTTAAAAATACTTCGAATATATTTAAAAGTTAATCAGCGATTAAAGAATTAGTGAAAGCTCTTGTAAGTAGCTTGTGGTCGCTGAAAAAAATCAAACTTTAGCTCCTAACCAGCTACTTAGAACTTACCTATTGGACAGTAACTGATATGCGTTTAAGTATGGCTAAATTTAAGCACTTTGCAATCACTTCAATACCATGTAGCTAAGCAGCACTTGAATTTTGCGATATGTAAGTGCTTATAAGCTGCTGTTCTATAGATAAGTTCTAAGTGTCTGATAAGGACTTAAAATTTGACTTTTTCAGCTACTACAAGCTGGTTACAAGAGCTTTCACTAATACTTTAATAGGTGATTAACGCTTAAATACGTTCGAAGTAGCTTTTTCGCTTAAATTTTCACATGGAAAGTGAGGATCTAATAAACTAAACTATTACGGTCTGTGAGGAGGTAGAGGATGGGTTCTAATTTCTACTCTTGCGCTTCAACACTCCTTTTAGATAGTGTTTCACAACAAGAATCTGTTAAATATTATCAAAAAGTTATATAATGATTATTGAAAAAGTTTATAAGCAATCAAAAATTAGATCTTGATAATTGATCAACAATTTCCTTGACTAGGATTCAAGAAACATTAGTAGAACAGATTTTTTTATTTGTATAAAATATACATATATATTGAAAATTCAAACAAGCTTTCATTTTCAAAATAAAACAAAATAAGTAATAATACATTGCAAAAAAAAATGTTTGAAAATTAATGATAATAATGAAAAAGTTCTTTTATTCACAGAAAAGTCTCATAGTTAATAACAGTGAATCATTACACCATTTATTATTGAGAAAAATATATGCAGGTCGAAGAATTTGCTAGACAAATAAAACAATCTTCTCTATTCGAATTATTCGAAAATAATCTGGAGTCAATAAGGCAGTCATTTCTTCTGAGACACAGAGCTGTTTTCTTGTCAAGATATCTAGATCCTACCAGTATTTACCGGTCCACCGTTGCTAAATTGGTCCACTAGCAATAAACCGGATGTTGATATGATTTAAGAGAAGACTCACACTCATTCCTATTGTAATTTTTCATTCGATATGTTACTTTCTTGTTAGATCGTGCTGCGACTGACAAACAAGCCTTGCGATGTCAATCAAAAGTCACCAGTGTAACTGAAATATATTTATTTCTAAGACTACCAACATCAATGAAATATTGATAAAAGTTTGATAAGCAATTCATTAAGGAATTATAGTACAACAAATACAATATGATATTTATACAAAAAATTGCGATAAAACAAAATTAACTGATGAAACACAACATAGCGTCTCTAGAGCAGAGGTGAAGAATCTATCTGTGAGCGGGAACGCGTGTCCGAGTAAATTTTTTATCGATCTAGGGAAGTTTTTGAAGTCATATTGCGTTCGGAGAAACTTTTTGGAAAATTATTGTCTAGAAATATTTGTTCAAAACTATTGAGTCTGTGAAAATTCTTCGAGTTATTTTTCTATTCGAGAAAATTTTTTCCCTTTTAAAGCGGATTCTACACCTCTACTACAGAAATATTAATGTCACTTTCATCTTGCAATTAAAAATTAAGAGATGCATTAAACGATGACTTGTTGATGTTCTTGAATTGAACCTACATTTAGTATCGTCTTCAATCTGTAACAAAGTTATTTTAATCACCATTCAATTGTGACAACATGAGAAGAACGGTTGCATTTCATTGTCTCTTCAAGTTGTTCTTGACGATGCTCACGATGATCATGAACAAGAGTGTAGATACTACTTAGGCCACACCAAAAGTAGTGAGCCTCGCATCTTAATTTCCTATAGAGTGCTAGGAAAAAATTAATTTTTTTATGAAGAGATAGAGCGTCTTTTGCTGTATCTTTCTATGCTATTTGATCACTATTCAACTAATATCATAATAATAAAATTTCGATAAGATTTGTTTCTTTCGCATATGTGCTGGTACCATGAATGCCCCTAAGTACTTTTTCAATAACGTTTGATAGCAACAAGATAGAGAACTGCGGTTTTCAGCGTTGGAAAGAGGAGACGAAGACGCATCGAACTGTATACTACTGATTTTTCTAATACGATTTCTAAAGTTTTTTTTATTCAATTTTCTAACCGTTAAAAAAAGTTTTTTTTTTATGAAAATAAGAAAAAGCAAAAAACTTGATAGAAAATCATAGTTAGAATACGTATTATCTCTAAATAATTAAATTTAAACATCTAAGTCTTTCGCAGTTTGTAGATCTTCGAGTAGTGGTTTGAATGTGAACCTGATTATTCAATATTCACTGTAAATAACTCACGGGATAGGTTTACTCTTTGAAAGGTCAACTGAAAACCTTACAACAAACAGGTTAGAAAAATTCGTAATATGCGGTTCGATGTGTCGTCATCTCCTCTTTCCAACACTGAAAACCGCAGTTCTATATATTGTTGCTATCAAACGTTATTCAAAAAATATCCACGAACATTCATGTTCATAGTATCAGGACACATGCGAAAGAAAGAAATCTTATCGAAATTTTATTATTATGATATAGGTTGAATAGTGATCAAATAGCATAGAAAGATAGAGCAAAAGACGCTCTATCTCTTCATTAGAAAAGAAATTTTTTCCAAGCACTCTATAGGAAATTAAGATGCGGAGCTCACTACTTTTGGTATGACCTAAGTAACTTAACCTGGGTTTAAATTCATTATATTGCACAGTATTTTTGTTACTCTAATAAAAAGACACGTATTCAACAAAACGACGTATATGAGGGTGGGGATATGGGTGTGCGTGTACCTCTATCTTTTTCATTCACCCACACCCACACCATAGATGAGCAGAGGACAGGACGGTCCTGGTGTCCTGTCTTGTCCTGTGCTCATCTCTGACCCATATCCACATCTATATAAAACGAACGACGAGCGTGTCTTAAAAGTGATGATGGTTGTGGGTCGCCGGTGTATATGGTTTTATTAGAATAAATACTCCAAAAAACCGCACCCACACTCTCATCCTTTTCGAATAATTCATTTGGCTCACTCAATATTTCAGACTGTCATTTAATACCACTACAAGTATTCTACAAATGTTCAAACTATCAATATTATATTATCGGTGTGATTTATCCATGTTAACTTATGAGTAACTTATATAAAATAATACTGTAAAAAAAACTCCGTGCACAATTTTACCTGCACAAAGAATTATTGTGTAAAATTGACTGTCCTCTGCCATCCTTTCTATCGCTATTTTCACGAAGACATCATGTTTTATTATTCATCGTACGTCTATTGTGTCAACAAACAATAGAGGTAACGCTTTTCTCATTATACTCTTTAATGTAACCTTTGGAAGGTCTTAAATAACAAATGACAAAGTAAAAAAGAGGTATATGTAAAGGCTTACTACAATATTAAACCACACATTATGCGTATACAATCACGAGCATATATATTTAGCTTTTAATAATCTTTGGAGACGAGAAGAGCGAAATTGAAAGAACAATAGTATGACTAGAAAGAGCAGAAAAAATGCTAAACAACTGTAGAGAGACACAAATTGAGCTTTGATTGAGAAGGAAAAAGAAGAGAAATAACTCAATGACGAACAGCAAGAACAACTTGACTCCGATTGAAAATACGAATATGTTTTCCTTTTTCGCTATCAATTGATATCGATATACGATCAACAATTCAGAAGAAATTACTCACGTCAATATAACAATTCTTGCTTGTGAAGGATGCACAAAAACCGGTGGTTGAGACTATCATTTTTCCTTTTCTGAAGATGATTGCAAACGAAAATGTCGTTATGAAA